TTTCCCTCCCACAGCGCAGCACCTGGACAGGAGTGAGCCCGGCCTCCCAGTGCAACCGGCGCTGGCTCCTTGAGGCGAGGGCAGGAGGGATGCACGCCCCACAGGGGGGGCCGCTCCAGTTTCCAGCTCGGAAACGGTGAGGACAACTCTGGCCCCCACTGCAGACAAGGAAACAGAAGCAGCGGACATGCTCCGCCGACTCCGGAATCTTTCCACTAATAGACTTTCCACTTTCGGAATTCCTTAAAAGTATTTCTGGAAATAATCTGGGTTAGGGTCAAGTGAGTGCAACTGACTTGCAGCTTTGTCACAGGCTGACGGAGGCTCCCCAGTGCATTTCAGGGAGCTCATGTTCACATTTTTTGTTTGGTCCTGGAGAGAGGCACCGTCTATACACACTTAGGCAACCGCACGATGATATTTAAAATCTAAGCTCCTATTGGTATTCTACAGTTGTGTAAGTTAAGATATAAAGACCAACGTTGGAAATCTCTGTCGTCTCTCTAAACCGAAGGACTGTCCTCCGAGGCGGGGAACATGCTGTGGAGATGCAGAGACCAGCCAGGAGGATGCAGAAGAGGCCCGAGAGACCTTGGAAGATGCACCACGTGATCGCCACCTGGGAGCTGGGACGTTGCACCAATAACTGGACCATCTTAGATGACAACAGCTCGTGCGGCGGAAAGGGAACTAAACCTACTCTTGACGTTGAACACGGCCATTCAAGAGGAAGAGTTAAAGAGCGAATCAGTTAGAGCAACCATCACCACCCCCCCCAATGAAAAACAAAACCCAGGCACTTCACAGGAGTAAAAATCACAAACTCCATCTTTGTGAATCCTCAAGCGCATTCATTTTCCAGCCAGTCCCATAACCAACTCGCTTATTAATGTTCTAATAAAAAGAGTCAATGCATTTAAATGCAGCGGTGGGGATGCCCGGCCTGCGGGCCGCATAGGGCCCATGAAATCCTTCGGGCTGGCCCTGCCGAGACATGAGGGGGGAGTTAACGAAATGTCTGACCAAGTACAGCTGGCTAATTTTAAGTTGATGACTTCATATGGCCCTCGAATGATCTTTTAACTATCCAATGGCCCTTGGCAGAAAAAAAGGGTCCCCACCCCTGAAAAGTAACAGGCTCTTCATTTTTTTGAGAAGCTCGCAATGTTAGAAGGGCACTAAAGCATCAGGGTGTGGCGGCATTAGCGAGAGTCCAGAATAGCGTGGGCACCAGTGGACTTCGGGGACACGGCACGTGGGGTCCCGTCAGGAGTGAGGTCAGACAGCCCGTGTTGATAATTAAGTACCGAGGACTGGACCGGGATGGGCACATGGCACTCCCCGGGGATTCGTGCCAGCTGGAGGAGATGGCCACCTGGAGCTATGCCTTGGGCCAGTCATCAATCCCAGGAAATGCCCTGGACCTCAACTGCTACAGTGGTTTTAATAAACAGACGCAGGAAAAGTTTAAGCTCAGCTTTTTACGGAAACATTGGCTTTAGACTTAGAATACTCGGGCTTCCTACAGCGAGTTCTCTGGTGCTTACTGCAGAGTGCCTGCACATTTCTTACTGCTTATTTCTAAAAGCTGACTCCAATGTAAGTGAGAAGCTGACTGTTAACTATGTGCAGAGAGAACAACTTTTAGTCGCATTTTTAACTACAGGGGACTTAGTTCGAGAGCCATGGTAAGGACATAATCAATATGTGGATACTCACATTCATACTTGGGAGCTGACAACTCAAGAAAAAAAGAGAAGAATTAGTCTTCAGGTTTAGAGAACGGATGTGTCTCCCTCGGTTAAAATAAAAGCCTGTGACAGACGGCACTCCTTCAAACAAAAGGCAGCAGCTAAACAAACCCGGCAAATCGTCGGGGTCTTAGGTCATGATTCTGTAATGACACGGGTGCCAGGAAGCCAGCAGACAGACGCCGGGAGACGAACTGTGTCGTTACTATTCCGAGCAGACATGCACTTTACTAAACTCTCGTAGGCTCCTAACTCTTAACCAGATGCTCTTCTGAACCAGGACATTTTAAGGGTTTTCACTTTAGTAGAAGAATATGAACATTCGTTTTTGCTTTCAAAGAAAAAGCAAACCCAAATTCTCCAAAGAGAAAAAATCCTCCTCCTCAAAACAGGGGTAGGGCACATGGGCCCGTGGGCCATATAAGGCCTGAGAAATCCTTCGGGCTGGCCCTGCCAAGGCATTAGGGGGGAGTTCATTAAACGTTTGACCAAATATAGCAGGCTCATTTCTAAGCTGATAATTCTGTATGGCCCGAGAACGATGTTATAAATAGCCGAGTGGTCCTTGGCAGGAAGAAAGGTTCCCCACCCCTGCCCTGAGCCAACCTCCGGGCCTGTCAGAAACGCGCTCACACACCAGAAGTACAGAGAGGAAGACCCAGGGCCCACAGGCTCGCAGACTTTAGAGAACTTGGGTGTTTATAGGATCGCTCACAGCCTCTTTCTCAGTTGGCCTTGAGGCTTGCTGATTAGCTGGTAAATGTTTGAAAGGGTCAGTTTGTCCAGAACTGGAATTTCCACTTCGGAAAAAGCGCAGAGGTACCTGACATCTGTTCCTTGAAGGGCCTGCACTGCACTTGCAGACGCACAGCCCGGATTCCACTCTGCTCCGTGGCAGGGAGGGCACAGCTGTGAAACCTCCGGTGGCTGCTCCCGCCTGCAGAGCCGGCCCGGCCCAGGGCCCTCCGAGGTCTGGCTGGGAGAGCGGAGTCTCCGAGATAAAGGCCACTTTAATCATGCGAACAGATTCCTCCAGGGAAAACCCCAAGACCAGAAGCCTCCACCTAAGCCCCCAGTCTCCACCCAGAACGTGGTGCTGCGTAGAATTAAATAACTTCAATGTTAAAACGCGGCCCTGGGGGACTCCCTCCCCCTCCCCACGTGGGAGTCTGTACTTGTTCTTCAATCAATCTCCACCTTGGCTATAAAAAACCAAACCAAAACAAACGAACAAAAAACACTGCCCTGATCTTTGAGGAGGACACTGAAGCCCAGAGAGGTGAGCCGGCTTGCCCGAGGTGGCTCAGCTTCTGGGCCACGACCCTTCCTTTGGGGTTCCTGCCACGTCCTGTGCTGTGTGTCTTAATTCCCTATATTCACACGTCCTATCTGCACGCCCCCCCCCCCTCATCGTGAGCTCCATGGGGCTGGGAAAGACAGCCACGCCTGCGTGCCCCAGTGCCGGGCACCACAGGGCCAATGCTCCCGGCAGAGCCTGGCCGCTGGGGCAGGTCACCTTTCCATCTAATAGTAACTTTAGCCGTGACTTCAGTTTATGTTAATGACACCCCACACGTCACTTTACATGCAACTACACGCTACTGGCACTGAGCAGCCAGGCCCTCCACTCCCGCCTCCTTATAGGAAGTGGGCTTGGCACGCTTGCTTTCTCATAATTTATAACTGGTGCCCGAACTTCATAAGTTATGGTGAAGATGCAATAGAGTATTTTAATGGTTCCTTTATGCAAATATAGTCTAGGTCACTGCTTCCTTTATACGTGCAGTACCCCGCACTCGTGGCCTTATAACCCCTGCTGCCTTCAATGAGAGGCTGTGGGCTCGCTCACCCTTTTGTTCTGCTAACTTTGAAGCGCAGCTGTGATGGTTGGGGGTAATTATTAGGGTGATGGCCCTCTCCCACCTTCCCAGGCCAGGTGCGAACTTCCCTGAAAAGCGCCCAGGGTTAAGCTCCTCAGGGCGAAACCGAATGGGATCCCGGATATTTGCTACTTTTTCAAACTTGCCCCAACCCTGACCCGCATGAGCACAAGTTAGCCTCCCGGCGACACGGAAGAAACATGCATGCACAGAGTTTAGTTCGGTTACCTGGGCGGGGGAAACAATAGCAGGTGGAACTATGGTGGGAGAACCGGTGCTTCTGTGCCCATTGGCTTCGGGAGGAAGAGGCAGGGGGTCGTGTTTCACGGAAACCACCACCACCGCCGCGTCCACGGGCTCCGAGGGCCGCAGGCAGAGTCTTTTGGGCGAAGAGGGGCCGCAGAGTTCCCCCGACGCGAACACGGACTCGTACAGGGCGCGCTTGGGCGCAGCCTCGGCTTTCACGTCGGGCGCGCCCAGGCTGTCTTTGGGGAGGACGTAGGTGTTCCCCAGCGCGGGCGGCTGGGGGCGGTGGTGGTGGGAGGGAGGCGCCGGGGGGTGGTGGGAGTGGTGGCGGGCGGCCCCGTTCAGAGCCTCGGGGTAGCAGCCCTGCAGGGCGGGCGAGCCCAGTTTGGTGCCGATGCCCGCGATGCTGTTGAGCGTGGCGATGGAGACGGCGCCGATGCAATGGTTGGTGTAGGTCTTGGAGAGCTTGGCCGCCTTGGAGAGCATCTGCATGCGGGTGCCCAGCAAGTTCTTGCCGATGGCTTTGTTCTCGTACCAGGTCACGTCGCCCTCGCTGCAGTGGTCCCGCGGCCGCTGGAAGAACGCCTTGCACAGCGGGTTGCGCTTGGACAGGTACTTGACGAAGCTGGCGTAGGGGCAGAACTCGGTGCCCGTCTCGTACATGCGCGGCAGGTTCTCCTCGTCGCTGCTCTCCGCGCGCTTCTTGCTCCAGGACGACGAGCGCGACTTGTGGTAGGGCCCGAGGGACTTGAAGTAGACGAACTTGCGGCCGTCCTCGTCCATGGCCAGCCCGAAGGAGTCCTCCTCCAGCTCGCGCTGGTTCTCGCGGCCGCGCGTGCAGAAGTACATGCACGTCTCGAACCAGACCTTGTTGAGCAGCCCGAAGGGCGTGCCGGCGCCGAAGACGCTGGACGTGTAGAGCTTGCGCAGGTCGGCGCGCGTGATGGCCTGCTTCTGCACCACGGGCCCCGCGCCCTGCTCCTCCAGCTTGCGGATGACGGCGGCCAGCGTCAGGTTGGCGCTGCGCAGCTCGGGGTCCTTGGTGAGGTCGAGCGTGCGGCAGTAGGGCGGCTCGTTGAGGTAGCGGTTGAGGGAGCTGCGGATGCTGATGAGCGACGACTTGCTGTAGAGCTGGCCGCTCTTGGAGCGCGCCTCGGCGTAGAAGGAGCGCAGCACGCGGCACAGCGCCCCCTTGTCCATGGTCTCGAAGTCCGGGCTCTGCGCCTTCTCGCTCAGGTACTCCCGGAAGATGCGCACGGCGTAGCGGGTGGCCAGCCGGGTGTTCTCGCTCAGCC